GACTTAACAAGTGTCTTAGGTGGATCAATATCAATTCCAACAGGTGGGCCCTTGGCAGGACCGTTTTCCGGCTAATGTCACTGGAACAAAATTTGCTGAAACATCGTTGACACTTCCGGACGTTCAAAATATTCCCATAAACTTTTGGATATTCTTTGTGGCTACAGAGGCATTGTTTTCATTCTTGTTTTTAAACAGCATTACATGCCAAATTTGTGTCTCGTTGTGTTCCATCACTGTAAGGGAGTAGTGTATACTAAACTTTACACATTATATAGGCCACACAACGTGATGCTTAGGTGGTTCGCTTAACTATCATACATGATGTATGTTTTTTGGGGGGGGATTAAAGTATTAAAGTGTTCCAAAATGCGACATTAATTTCTTGATGACCTAATACGTTCTTGTACAATATTAAGCATTATAGCCATACTTCTTATAGTCAGAATGGATGTTATTTCGAAAGAATGACAAAAGAACAAAGGCAGCTAGAATGAAATCAACTTGTATGAAAACTACACATACAAAGAATAACTAATAAATGTAGAATAATACTATCTTAAAATAGAAAAGCATGGTATGTTTATATATTCCTTGTTATTGGTAGGCATGGAAGGATGAGTCATTTGTCAAGAAAAAAAAGGAATTACAAACAAAATGTTAAAATTCTTTTCAGTGTGGTCTAATTTTGACAGGCACCTTACTAGTAATCTGTTATACATTTTTTCTATGAAAGTTGAATTCAGACAAAATATTATATACAATAATTCAATTAATAGATTACTTTTTAGCTTTCCATTATGTGTTAATACACCTCTTAAGCAATATTTACTTGATTTTTATATGATAAAAAAAAGCTTTCACAAAACTATATTGCACTCTTTTGCTTTTCAAATTTCAAAGTTTTGTGGTATATTCCCCATAGACCTCTGTCTACCTGGACTGGGCTCTGGGAATAAAATGTAGGGGCAAGATTCAAAACAATATTGAAAGTACTTTATGTTTTTACAAAATCTAACTGTCCATGAACCTGTAGGTACTATATCTGAAATCGAATTTTAATATATGGTTAATTTAAAAAAAAAACAATATGGTGACAATAAATAGAAGTAAAAAGAATAAAAAAGCAAGAAAGAGATTTTCATATCTGTATGTGGTAGTCTCACAGAAGTCAAATATTACCAAAATTCATCAATAAAATAGTGCTTAATTTTTTCATAACAACAAAAATCATAATATGTGTGTAGTTCACTCAAACATATCAATAAAAAATATTTAATGCAGTTTGCTAAAACTAGGAATTATAAGCATTATGAAAGAAAATAATGTAAAAAATACTAATTTTTTGTCGAAAGAAAGTATAGTAGCAATTAAAGCCTATCAAGGTCAAACACTTAACAATGGATAAAATTAACTTATAATGCATAAGTTGGAAAACAAGAACTATGAAGAAAAGGAAATTATATAAAAATAAGTTTGTTTGTTGGACATGAATGCTATCTGTGCTAGTTGACCATAATTTGGAAGTGATAGACTAAAGGGAAGGCAGGTAGTCAACACCATCGATTGCCAACTTTTGAGTTGCTCTTAAGTTGTCAGATTGAGTAGAGATTTGAATGCCACTCTCATATCACAACCATGGCCCCATATTCTGAAGTATGATTTTTTTATTATTATTTGTGTGTGTGTATGTGTTTGTGTGTAATGGGACACAAACCATGGAACCTCAGCTCCACAGTTCAGGATGCTTACTTAATTAAAGAGTGTTTCATTTTGGTATGGAACTTTGTGATTGAAAAATATAACTTTTGTACACTGTAGGTTGTCCATACAATGTAGAATATGCTGACCCATTCACATGTTAACCATTTTAGGAAATTACAGTATAGTTTGGCTTTTATGTTACTTTTGTTTTGTTACTAAATGTGTGATCTGAGTAGTGTATCTCAAAATGTGTTTATGGACTACTGATTTGTGATTTGCTTCATAAACTTTGATTCTCCTGAGATTGTTTTTTCATCCAATTGTATTTTTCCTCTATTAAAGTGACCTAGCTTGTTTGTTTTTTGTTTTTTTTGTTAAAAGTTTACTTAAAATTTAGAAGTTTGATATCCTGTTTTTTCCATTCCTCATACAAGTAATAAATGAGATTATTTTGTCTTGTCTTTAGGTTTTGCATATTTTGTAATTGATTTTTTTACTGCCTTAATTTTAAAATAATGGTCAACTATTATTCTAACCAATTGCAGTTTATAATCTTAAAAATCACCTATTTAAGGTTTACTGTTTGTCATAAATGTGAAACTTCTTGTAATATGGCCTCTGTTTAGCCATATCTGGTATTTTTATTTATACACAACAAGTAAAAAACTTGATTTTACCTTCAACTATCTTGTGATTAGAAATTAGAGTTTTTATTGAAACTGCATTAGTTTTTAGGAGCATATTAAGTATCCCACACTTTCTTATGAACTATCTTATGGGAAATCACCAATGTCTATTGTAAGCCAGGTAGAAAATATCAATTTATAGAGTGAAACAAATTCCAGTAGTGAGTTGGAGACTATTTCTAATAAGAATTAGCATAAGTACTTAATTTACCTTTTCACATGCAATCATATGGAAAAGTTTATAAATATTATCTGATAGTTCTCTGTGTAAACTTTTTGATGAAATCCTGATGTAGAGCTTAGTAGTTAATTATCTTAGTTCTGATTATTAGATATATTATTCTAACCTTAGTTTGTTTGATCTATTAAATATTGCAGTTGACTGATTTATGTCTGGATGTTAAAAACATGTAGGTAATTTATATAGAGCAGTCATCACAGTTGTGATGATACAATGATGAGAGCTTAGGCCTTACAGCTTCTTCATTCATCATCAGTGTATTCTTATGATGGCCTTGAGCATATGGACTATTTCTCTGCAGTATAATTTCTAAAGGTGTAGTGATACAGTGAAATGATATGAGTATCATATTGTGAAACCATGATACGATTGTATTGATACATCATCCGATACAATAAGATTTATGTATCTTCACAAAATTTGGCAAGCTTTCAGTAAACATTATATCTTTTGTGCAGAAAAAAATCAGAATTTCTGATTTAGTGTTTTTACTAAAAATTAATGATAAAGGAAGATGAGTATTGAGTACTATATGTTGTCTTCATTTCTTTTATCAAAAATAGTAAATGCAAAGTAACATAAAAAAAATTATCAATAACAAAATAGATAGACAGATATTAACTTTTTTTATTTTACTTTACTTCTCTGGCACTTAGTTGATCAAACCTGAGAATTTGAAAAAGCAGTGTAAAGTGTGAAGTACTTAAATAAGACAATGTTAGTAATATA